AGTTGTCAGAATTCTATTTTTGGCAATAAAAAAAAGCCATCAACACCACTCCCCCCTTTTCCATTCCAACAAATGGCAGCGCTATTAATTTGAATTCGTATTTTCTTTCTTTCTTTTTTCTTTTTTGGATAAGCGTATTAATTACTCCCTATTTCGGAGTTATGAGGTGTACTTTTAAACTGCCTTAATTTTTTTTTTTTTTTTTTTTTGATGTTAGGATACATTAACTCTCTGGGGCCTTTCCTTCGCAATTCTGTACATTTGTGCTTGTTATAACGATAAAATACTTTTATATATTTTTTCTGGAACGGATTATCATCAAAGACGGACGTTGAAATCTTTAAATTTCAGAGATAATGTGCACCGTTTTCACAAAAGAGATATTGGGCAGGACCCCCCTCCCCCTCCTCCAGCCCCGATGAACATTCATTGGAATACTGAACATATTTCCTATGACATACTTAATGTATTATTTCATGGATAATCTGGATTAAATCCTTTTACAAATACTCGCTTACTTCAAAATTAACAATATATAGTGTAGTTAATATGTACACTCGATGTTTATACAGGTAAATATCTTTTTTTTCTTTTTTCATGTCAAGACTTGGAATGCCTTAAAAATGTATTACGGAAATAATTTCTGAAAAAAAAATAATCGAGTTAAATCATCGATTATGGAGCGGAAAGGGAGTGTCTTGTCCACAAGTACTGCATGATCGTGTTTGTGTTCCTTATAGAACTGGGAACAGATAGTCTTTATTTATAGACAATAAAAAGGTTGATTGTATCATGTTTCTATGGTGACATATTTCTCCCCCCTACATGCAAGATAAATTATGTTAACAATTGGGTCGGCACACACTGAACACATGTATCTTAAATAATTGATTTGCAACCAGCCATGGCCATAAAATGCCAAATTTAAATAAATAATAAGAAATGGTGACACTTGGTTTTTTTTTTTTTTTTGGTTTTTTTTTTTTGGTGGTCTGTGATAATAATAACAGTATACGACATCATACAAAAAAGCTGCAACAGAATTATGTTGGCATGCGACTTATTTACGTCAATATGTAAGATAATTATGTTAACATGCGACTTATTTATGTCAACATGCGACTTATTTATGTGCACATGTGAGTTATATTTTAACATGCAAGGTATTTATGTCAACATGCAAGATAATAAGTTGCATGTTAACATACATATCTCGCATGTCTACATAATTATCTAGCGTGTTAACATAAATAAGTCACATGTCAACATAATCATGTTGTGTCTTGCTTGTATGATGTCATATAATGGCGTTAGTAAGTTTACCAAATTAAAATTAGATTCTCTAAAGTATGGTGGCATATTTCTGCCCCTTGTGTGCAAGTTATTTTTCTGTCAAATATGTCGACATGCAAGATAAATATGTTGACATGCAAGATAGTTATGTCAACATGCAACATAACTATGTTGACATGCAAGAAAATTGTAATCGAATAAAAATTATAAAAAATCTTCAAAAATCTCAAATATTGCCCACATGTGACATCCAACATGCTAGATGCTACTTATTTATGTCAACATGCATTTTATTTATGTTTACATGCGAGATAAATATGTTGATATGCAACTTATTTATGTCTACATGCAACTTATTTATGTCGACATGCATCTTGGTTATGTTGACATGCGAGATAAATATGTTGACATGCAACATATTTATGTCGACATGCAACTTATGTATGTTAACATGCATTTTTCAGATACAGTTCTGCTATGACCTTAACCTTAGACCTTAAAACATAGTTCAAGGTCACTGCACACCCTTTTAAAGGGACCTCAGACGAACAGATGGACGGACGGACACACTAATTACTATAGGTAGCCCGCAGAGAAGGGCCCTAAAAACGTTTTATAATCTACGGTCACGTTCTGAATCGCCAGGACATTTTATCTAAGGAAATCCAATTTATAGTTTGTTGTCCACCTCATATTATAGAAAATAATTTAAACTGCAACATTTGCTTAAATAAATTTTCGATCATTAAAATCAACTTCAATTTTACCGACCGAAAAAAAAAACCCAGAACCGTGCCTCATTGCTCTTGTCTTGGGTAGTAACGAATCTGCACGCTCGCACAAATGTTCAAATTGTGTATCACATAACTTCTTTTGCATTCAAATTTAATCATTTAATTCAAAATCTTATCATTTTGAAAAATTGATCATATTCTAAAAAGTATATATCCAAAATGAAATCACAAATCGATCATATTCACTGTAAACTTTTTGGGGATTCATGGGTCTTAAGACTTTTACATCGATTTGTGATTTCATTTTTGGATATTTACATTTTTAAAATTATATATATATATATATATATATATATATATATATATATATATATATATATATATATATATATATATATATATATATATATATATATATATATATATATATATATATCCGCTACTCAACATAACTAAGTTGCATGTCAACATATCTATCTCGCATGTCAACTTAACTAAGTTGCATGTTGACATAAACAAATTGCATGTTGACATAACTAAGTTGCCTGTTGACATAAATAAGTAGCATGTTAACATACGTAAGTTGCATGTTGACATAAATAACTTGCATGCCAACATTTTTATTTTGCATGTCAACATAAATAACTTGCATGTCGACATAAATAAGTAGCATCTAGCATATTGGAAGTCACATGTGGGCAATTTTTGAGATATCTTAAAGATTTTTTATAATTCTTATTTGATTGCAATTTTCTTGCATGTCAACATAGTTATGTTGCATATTGGCATAGCTATCTTGCATGTCAACATATTTATCTTGCATGTCGACATATTTGACAGAAAAATAACTTGCACACAAGGGGCAGAAATATGCCACCATACTAAAGAGATTGGTTACTTGCATGACAACATAATTATTTTGCATGTTGACATAAATAAGTCGCATGTCTACATAATTATGTTGCATGTTAACATAATTTATCCTGTATGTAGGGGGGCAGAAATATGCTACCATAGTAAGTAATTTGACCAACATTGAAATTATATTTTCCGAAAAATATTGGTAACTTGCATGTCAACATATTATCTTGCATGTTGACAAACTTTTCTTGCATGTCAACATAATTTATCTTGCATGCAGGGGGCAGAAATATGCCACCATATGTTTCACTTAATTTTTTGTAGAAGATGCAGAAAACGTACACCACTATATAGATTTATAAGCCTAATAAACTTGGTTTGTCAACATAATTAATTTTTCCTTATCAATAATTCCTTGTAAATTATAAATTAAACCCGAAACGCGCGTTTTAATTGGAGGCGCATGTATGTAATTAAATGTAAATTAATCGTTTGAGCCATCCCAACTTATGTCGTTATTACTTTTTTACACTGTAAATGTTTATTGTATATTTAGTTGCAAAGACTGAAAAATTTGTTTAAAGTACATATTTCAATGATTACTCTTTGTGACGTCATTTTTTCAAATGCATAGCGTCATTAATTTACATGTAATGTCCCATAATAAATTTCACTGAGAAAGACTTATATGATATTCATTTGCATAAATTGTATTAAATATATTTAAAATGCAGAATTGAATTTAAAAGACAATAAAAAGATAATAAAACCTTCAGATAAAGAATTAATCAATTAATTTCTTTAAAAGTATAAATTCATTGTGAAGGAAAAGTCACGTATACTGGGACAAAAATGCAGCATTTTCAACTTCAATTTTTTATAAAAACGGATGTGGCCGCACTTTTGTAAGGTCATTTTTTCTCTTTAATATTAGTAATCAGGTTATATTTGTTCTTTCTGTGAAGTTTCGTATACATACTCGGTTGCGGCTATATCGAAATTAATAGACTTGAAGAGGAGGAAAACGTCCAAAATAAGGGAATTCCAGAATGTAAGACCAGTTTAATTTTGAACGTTATAAAAATGAGAGGGCGCTTCAGTTGAGGAAAATTGTTACCCATTTCACAAACAGGGAAACCTCAACCGTAACTTGAACATTTGATAAAATGTAAACCTGCGTTTAATTTTTGTCGATTTTCAAGGCCGATTACTGGGCTTTAAGCATTTCAACCATATCTATTTATAGGATCAGACATACATACATGTATATTTGTTGAGAAAGAATTTAAAGAAATGAGACAATATTAGGTGTTTGATATATAAGATGAATCAACACTACTCACGTGCTTAAGTTACATGTACTAAATTTATCAATTCTGTATAGGTTAATACAATGAAAATTGTTCCTTTTTTCGTCGTAATTTCATAATTGATTCCTTTCATTGTTATTGTAAAACTGGAAGAAAGTATGCAAATAAAACGCAGGAACCCATAAAAGATTGGGGAAAAAGTAAGATTAATTTGAATCGGAAAAGCCAATTTAAAGTTGGAAAAGTCAACTTTGAAGTTGGAATTGCCAATTTAAAAGCTGTAATTACCAATTTTAAAGGATGAAATGCCAGAACTAAAGTTGGAATTTCCAACTTTAAGGTTGAAATTACCAATTTTAAGGTTGGAAAAGCCAAGATTAAAGTTGGAATTACCAACTTTAAATTTTAAAAAGAAAAGACTAAAGTATGAAAAGCTAACCAACTTTAAAAAATATATATTAAATGGCACTAATACACTTCCGGGTATATTATGAGTTTTTGGGATAACGACATTCTCGTCATGTTACATGTATGTTCGGTAATTTTAAATTGAAATAAAAAGATTATTTGCAAGATATTATTTTAAAAATGGTTTGTTTATAAAAAACCGGAAAAGCATATACACAGGCATTATAAGTTACTTATTCTGATGCAGATGTAAGTCAATAGTATTTGTAACGTTTTCTTTAATTTATATTTTAGATTCCCAGAGATGGACATTTCTGTGCGATTTTTTGTTATATTCTGTAGTTTTATCGGATCCTTTTTTCTTATATCAATATTTTCATCACGACAGAGAACAATGTTTATTCCACCTGCTATACAACAACAACAGTTACATGTACACATGACAAATACGGTTATTTCAGAATCAAGCAAAAAGACATTTTTCACGCAACAAAATCGTAATAATACAATATCAAAACATAAGGAATATACAATATTGTGGTATAACATTCCCTCCTACTTAGTTGATAAGTTAAACTATGCTAAATCAAGTTCATGTGAGAGTCAGCAGCGCTGTATTCTTTCAAGGAATACAAAAGATCTTCATAAAAGTGACGTCGTAATATTTACACATTTCAACATGGGAGGCAATCCGCCGTATAAAAAGAAAAACCAAATATGGGTATTCAACACCATGGAAAACACCGCTTTTATGTCAAAACCCTCACCAAGATGGAACAACAAACTAGATTGGTTAATGTCATACCGACGACGATCAGATATACCAAGACCGTATGGTATTTTAAAGAAACGATTGACGCCTTTGGTGAAAAATTATACAGATGTGTTTCAAAAGAAGAAACAATTCGGAGTGTGGATGTCTGGTCATTGTCCCGTACCATCTCGCCGTAGAGACTATATAAAAGAACTTAAGAAGTATATACAGATTGATATGTTTGGCTCTTGTGGCGATCGTGTTTGTGGCCATCGAACGCCAGTTTTAGGTGAGTGTTTGAGGAATTTTTCTCGAGATTACAAGTTTTACTTTGCATTCGAAAACAATATATGTGAGGACTATAGTACAGAAAAGATATATAATTTATATTTGGGTAACTTGAATGTAATACCCGTTATAAACGGACCAAAGTCGGCATCTGAATACTTACCTAAAGGATCCTTCATAAGCATTTTGGATTTTCCCTCGCCTGAGGCTTTGGCAGAGAAACTTAAAGTAATTGGTTCCAACGAATCTGTGTTTACGCAATATCTAAAGGAAAAGGACAAATATTACGCACTTGGCACACATTCAGTATTTTTGAGTTCAATGTGTAAGATATGTCACATTTTAGATAGAACAAACGGAAAACCCGAACGACCTAAAGCGACTATTTGGGAACGCTTCTCTCCTGAAAGTGAATGCTAATGTCTCTACACTAATTATAAAAACCAAATGCATACTGAACACATCTTTTATTATATAGCAACTTGGACCATTTTATGTTTAGATCACTGGCTTTTACGTTCATTTCCCCCAAAAAGATAAAAGTTACATGTATTTTTGGCAATTCCAGGGTATTGAGATTAATAATCTTGAATATTTAAGCTATACTTAATATGAAGCTCTTAGGTAATATTTTGATGAAAACAACACTTCTCTGTGCTATTTAATATCAGGCAAAAGGAAAATTTTAAAGCATACATGATAAAAATACCAATAACCACACACGTCTACTTCTATAGCCGACAAAGAACAAATATCGAAGGGAATGCAATTTTTCTTCCTTATCGAACAATTTTTGTAAATCGTTAAGTGACCAAAATAAATATCAGCTTTAACCTGGTCCAAACAACTTTGTTCTAATAACTCTGAGTGGGTATCTTAAAAGTATTCAACAACTAATTGTATTTTAATATTTCTGAGTGGGTGTTTTAAAGTGTATCACAAGATTAGAGCCAGATTGAAATAATTAAATAGAAAACCTCATTTTTTTTCTGTATTTGGATATCTATTTTGAATAAACCATGTTTTGAAAAAAATTAAAGCAAATTAAACAACCTTGTCTTGATTGATTTGAAATGAGAGACATTTGTCTGTTGCCTGTAAACAGTTCATTCATATCCACAGACAGCATATTCAACGGCCAGAATATGGACAAGTCAAAGCTAGGGAATATATCTAGACCTTTGCGGTACAATGTAATGGTGGACATTTCGTCGATATTCCCTTTTATAAACTGTTTACAGACAGTAAAGGGAAGAAAAAATAAATAAAACATCTTAATATATCTTTAAAACCAATTTTGAACATTTTAAAAATGTGTTTTATATTTGTTTATATTTCTTCATTTAAACATAATTTTAGCTAGAATGACAACATGGCCTTCTCATGTATTATTCGATACTAGCAAGATATTTTAGCGCTATATGACGCACCTGATCTTTAAAGTTTTTTGTTTGTTTGCTTGGTTTTTTTTTATAATGATTATATTCAAGGCTAGATGATCTAAATTACCTTTATTAAACGAAATACAAGCAACGGATTTTACCAATATATTTCTGTTCTAACATTTTTTTTGACATTTTCTTGTGTGTCCTATGAATTTTGATCTAGCCTGTTACAACTAAAAATAAACAACAAATAGAGATTCTAAACATTGCCTTATTTGAATTCCAAACTCAAGTGAAAACTTTTTGAAAACATATGCTTAAATATTTACTTAAAGAAGATAACGTTCCTTTTAATATCAATGTTACGATGAAAATCAGCTAAATGCTTTGCAATAAGAAATGACTTCTCTCCGCGACTAGTTTCTCATTTCATACCGTCATCGGAAGGCCTGGGATCGATTTTCGTTCGCCGGGCCGCGTCAAACCTAAAAGTCAAACATCATAAGGTAGTGACTGTTCCTTCGCCAAGTGCCCGGCATTTGAAGTGAAAACCACGGGTCTTTCGGATGAGACCTTAAAAGCAGTGGTCTCTTGTCACAATAGGCGTAATTGGCACGATAGAGAACTCTCACTGCCCAATGTCCCTGAGTGCCAAGTATAGGACTAACTTTGATGAAGCCCAGGTATATGTTGACGTATCTTTATGTGTGAAAAAATATCGAGTGGAACGTAAAACAACATACAATTTATTATAACAATATCACTTTCAAGGATACTATAAGGTGATCAAGCATATTTACGTACAGATTGTATAACTTGTTAAAACTTCTTGTTCCGTGTGTAAATTTCTTACAAGGAAGATAAATTTTGTGACAGAAAATTCACATCATTCGAAAATCTTTGCAACTTCAATCATAATGTTGTGAATTTGTTTCTTAATTTGACCTGAAAAAATAGTTTGCATACGTATGTTTTTTAACAGAATAAACATGCTTTATAACGGTAAAGGCAACTTTCCTAATTAATATTCAATTCTGAAAAACAACAGAAATCCGTTAATGATTCAAAACATTGAATTCTAAACTATGTACGTATATTAGTAAAACATGAAGAAACAAAAAAAAAGAGGTCTGGTCATCGATATTGATAAATTTTGCTTGGCAATTCACACTTGATGGTTTTTTTGTTTTTTTGTTTTTTTTTTTTTTTGTTTTTGTTTTTTTTTTTTTTGATGTGTCATCTTCCTGCTGTATTTTTTTTTTTTCATATTTTGTTCATCTATAAATTTATGGGATCATCATATCGATTTGTCATTTTTTATTCTGTGAATAGCTTTTGCTCTGATACCCTATCATTTTATGCATATAATTTCATTATTTTCGCAATTTTATTAATTATGTAAATTAATGCATTTATGTGTTGAACGATGTTTTTGTATGTAAATGTAAGTAAATATACTAATATTTTAATAGTTTTGGAACTTTATTGCTTTTGATTTTTATTCATTTAATGTCACTGGAATTTCTCACAGCCAATGCAGGTACATGTATCACGTACCATGTTATGCAATTTTCCCCATTCTTCAGTTGCGGCAGAGTCTCCCTTTATTTTGTTACGCAATATTCTCCATGGTCAAACCTTACCCCTTTATGTGCGAAGAACCAATCAAAAACGATCATCATGGTCACATGTTTTCATGCTGCCAGGAACGGCTAGTCAGCGTTCATTAATTTTCGCTTCATCGATGCTATCGAAAGCTTTTTTTGATTATTTGGTTCTTTAACGTCCCTTCGAGAATTGAGAAACCACCACTTGCCGGTGGAGGGCTGCAGGTTCAGACCTGTACTCGGCACTAAGAGCCTTTGAGTAGTGAGGGATTTTTTATTCGTGCCACACTTGACCACTGGATATACAGTCCTATCCGAAGGACTGGTCCCCATGTTTGCACAGTAGATTTCAACTAGCAATGTCGACGCTAGTCTCCTTACGCCGGACTCTTGAGTAAACACTCAAACCACTGCACCACGCTATTAAAAGCAGCTAAAATCTCGGCACCCCCCCCCCCCGCCTTCAAACACACACACCACCACCACCACCATCCTAGCTTTTCATATCTTACTTGCATAATTTTTTTTTTGACGACATTTTTTATTTTCAATTTGCCATCTTGTTTTGCTGTATTCTCAACGTGTTTTATATTTTTTTGCATATATTGTTTATATGTAAATTTAGGGGATCAACATATTGGTATGTCATTTTGTATTGTGTGAATAGCTTTTGGTCTGATCTCCTATCGTGTCATGTATATGTGTTTTGTTTTGTTTTTTTGAATTATTTTAGTCCTTTTTAATTATTGACATATTCCATCTCTACATTGATGTTAATTTCATTGATCTTATCTCAAGAAAATCGGGGCTCCTGCGGTATGAAAAAAACATTAAAATGTTTGGGTATTTTCAGTGTCCAAAAAGATGAATACACTTTTAAGATCTAGAGAGACACTTGGGAAACTATCCAAATATTTTTTTTAAACTATAAGTATGAACGAGCTCGTTGCAATGCAACGAATAGGTCTTCCGTCGGAGCTCCGGACAGGACAGAGCGACCTTGAGTCAAGTTCATGCAACATTTTAAGGTTATAAACAATCCTGTAAGGGGCATCAACTTTCAATGTTTCAACAGTAGAAAGACAGTAAAGGAATGTAAAATTCCCCCGTCAGTGAACTTGAACTTGTCCAAATAACTTTGCGTCAAGCCATGACACATTCTGCAGCTGGTTAAGAGCAAACACCATCTTTATGTCACCGACATAAAAAAAAAATCACAGTCACGTATTCTTCCAGACTATTCATCCAAAACATCATATTCTAAGTGACCTCGAATTTAAGTCAAGGCCATTACACACTCTGGATGATATATTTATCATCTTTTCAGTGAAATGCAAATGCATGCAATTTTTTCTATTACAAAAGTATAGACCTTTTTGTTTATTTGTTTGTATGTTGTTGAACGTCCCTTTCGAGAATTTTTCAATCATATGGAGACGCCACCATTTGCCGATGGAGATCTGCAAATTTTGACCTGTACTCGGCACACATGGCCATTTAGCAGTGAGGGATCTTTTTCGTGCCAGCACCTACTGCCAGACGGGACCTCAGTTTGTACGGTCTCATCCGAAGGATCAGTCTCTGCGTCCCACAGTGGGATTCGAACCTGCGACGTAAGGATCAACTCCATAATCCACGACTCTAGAGCAGACACTCTTACCACTGCGCCACTTGGGCGACTAGACCTTTGTGAATTTTACACTTATTATATCAGTGACCTTGAACTTGCCTAAATGACCTATGTTAAGGTCAAAAACAACCTTTGAACAAATTATGAGCTTCCAGTGATACCCAATGGCAAAGATATACCTGAAAAAGAATATTGCACTTTTCTGTCAGTGACCTTGAACTTGCCAGAAAGACCTTGGATCAAGGTCAAAACACATTCTTGGATCATAAGCAATCTCTGTATCAAGTAAAAGCTTCCAGTGATTTATATAACAAAGTTATAGCATGTGGAAAAAAAATAATATTTATCTGCCAGTGACCTTGAACTTGCCGAAAAAACCTTTGTTCAAGGTCAGGAAAACCCATCTCAAGCAATCTGAGAAAAAGTTTCCTGTGTTCCTCCCACCACTTATAAATTTATAATCCAGGCACGAATTTTGCCACTTCTTCTGCAAGTCTAGTACTATGTTATCTCAAACCGGTGGATCATAAGCAATCTTTGTTCCAAGTATGAGCTTCAAAAGTTATAGCACATACAGTAATCTTACAGTTTTCTGTCAGTGACCTTGAACTTACAGGAATGACCTGGGATGAAAGTCGTGTCAAACCCTTTAATTTTGTCATAAGAATTTCTGTATCAAGTATGAGACTTGCTATTTTTTTCCAATGACCTTGAACTTGCTGGAATGATGTTGGATCAAAACCATGACACACCTTCGGATCATTAGTAATCTTTGTACCAAGTATGACCTTCCAGTTT